CCCCTGACCCCCCCCCCACTTGTGGGAAAAAAATAAAGACTGCAGTAGTAGCATCAGCGTGCGGCTGCCAGTCCATTTGGGGGTCTAATTGTTGCCTTCTCCACCATCGTCGTCTTGCTGATCACTTGTCCAGAGCGTTAGGTTGTCACGAAGAAGCTGCATGATGAGCGTTGAGTCTTTGTAGGAATCCTCGTTGAGGGTGTCCAGCTCTGCAATGGCATCATCAAACGCTGTCTTGGCCAGGTGGCACGCCTGCTCGGGAGCATTCTGGATCTCGTAGTAGAAAACTGAGTAGTTAAGTGCCAGGCCAAGCCTGATGGGATGAGTTGGCTGCATGTGCTCCTTGCTGATCTCATGGGCTTCACTATAGGCTTTCTCTGAAGACTCTACCACGGTCGCCCTCTTCTCACCTGTGGCCACCTCAGCCAGGTAGCGATAATAGTCCCCTTTCATCTTCAGGTAAAAGACTTTACTCTCATACTGTGTCTCACTGCAGTTCTTGATCAGATAGTTGTCCAGCAGGCTCAGCACATCTTGGCATACAGCTTCCAATTCCTTCTCTATTTTCTCACGGTAGGCCCGTACCATTTCTATCTTCTTTTCGTTACCATCAGCAGATGTCTTCTGCTCAATGCTACTGATTACACGCCAGGAAGAGCGCCGTGCTCCCACTACATTTTTATAGGCCACAGACAACAGGTTCCTTTCTTCATTGGACAGTGGCTCATTCAGCTCCGTCACCTGTATTGGAAGAGGAGAAAGAAAAAGAAGTTGGGCTAAATTAAAACCTCTTGTCATTTTCCATCTCTACCTCACACTGATGTTCCCACCTATCTCTAGCCAAGTGTCCTGAGCAAAGTATGGGCTGACAAGGTTCTGGTTTACTTTTCCATAGCACAGATGCAACAACTTTTAAGGATATCATTCCAAGTTTGGAAGCTGTCAGAACCATCACTAGAAAACAATTTGTTTGGTGTTACCAACTCTGACAGTACCAGTTGTTCCATTTTACCCAAAACACTTCCAAAGTTTACACACTTTGCTAGCACAGTCTCTCAAGTAAAGCCGGAATAAACCAGAGGCACTTCACTTATAGTGTAGGTGATGGACTTCAACAAGCAGCATAGATGGGAGATGAAAGTGAATGCCCAAGCAAAGCAGGGAAGGCCATGTCGGTTCACTTTTAGGAATACAAGCCAGGCAAATAGTTGGAATTCAAGCTAATTGAACATCCACATAACTGGTTTGTAAGCCCCTCCCCACAAAACTATATGGGCGTGAGGGTGGAAGCAAACATCACGTCTCGACCTGAAAGTAGATGCACGGACTAAATCTACAATAAACAAATCTATTAAATCTTATCTTTGCAATAAATAAATAAAATCACATGGCAGCAGCATGCTATTCTTCTTACGAGATTTTCCACTGCCAACATTTCCATGTATATCTTCACACCTATCAGTATCATGCTACCTCCACTAACAAAAGGTAGTGAACTGCCAATAGAGTGGGATGGTTTAGGAGACTAGTAAAGAAACAGGCAGGTGTCTTGAAGCTGTTGGGTCCAGCCAAGACTACAGTACAATTTGTAGTGTCGTGCTTGAGTTTGTGGATTCATTCCAGTTCTTAGGTAGTAAGTGCCCAGACCCACTGCAGCCAAAAATCAGGAGTAGCAATCCACAATAACTGTAAAGCTATGAGAAGCCACCCTTATATTAGGAAAATTGCTTTGCTCTGTTCTGTGGATGGGACTAAAGTCTCTAGAATCCCAGCATGCCTTTTGGTACTAGTACTTCAGACAGCAAAACTCCTTTGATTAGGTGTGGCAGCAAATCCCCATCCATACAATAGCTCTTAATAAGTGTCCACATTTAAAATATACTCAGCAATTTACATAGCTCCTCAAAGCAGTTTCTGGTAAACAAGGACAAGTGACTTATGCTATTAAGTCAAGTTTACATGTGCCCAGGCACATCTCTACTGGACAAAAGACGACATGTTCTACTTTAGCAGATAGAAAACTAGTTTCCCTTAGTGACTTTGTGCCTTTGGCAAGAGCACATACAGCTAAGATCTAGGACCAGGATGACAATGCATGTGGACAAACACGAGGAAAAACACTGATGTTTCCTTAAAGTAGTTCCATATGCCACAGTTCAGATATTAATTGCTTCACGGGTCAGAATACAGACTAGTTTGTTTTGGATGAAGTTGTAGGAGTGGTGGAGCCAGTCTGATTAGTAGATTTTTCTCGCACTGAATTTTAAAGTAGTCTGCCATAGAGTTGAGGCATAGTGGCTTCCTCAGTTAGGACTTCTCTTATGTCATGAGAAGGAGACTCCATGATGTCTAGTCAGAATTATACCAATGCCAATTGATTTGTGGCAAACAGCATTAAACCAGCAGAGAGCAGGCCAATGACTGAAGCCCCTGCATCAGTCATTCATCAGATTATGGCTCCTTTTTTAAACCAGCCAAATGGCCAGAGACTCAGGTTTAGGCACTACGAGCAAACTCTAACCATGTCTGAGGGACAGAAGAGTTTGGCAGGAGCTCTATGAAAGAAGAAATTTCTGAACATAGTCCGAATGATACTTCCCAATTTGGCAGAAAGATGGCTGCACACAGACATAATCTTCAGGTCCAAAACATTTGCATAGTTGTCCTCAATATGCCATATAGCTTATGACCTACAGAGCCTGCATACCACCCACTGACTTGGCTTGCAGACTATTCAGGACGTCTGTTTAGTAATTCAGAATGAGTCATGGGGAAAGGTTGGATTTGCTGGTTGGGAGAGGCCAATGTTGAACTGCCTCCAAATTACTTACTTAGCTCTACCACCAAGTGCAAGGGGTTTGAGCATCTTGTCTCACAGCAAATCCCAGACTTTGTAGACAGACAAGCCAAAGTACCTATGGAGTATCCATGTTGACCCTTTACCTCAGAACAATTGCCATTTAAGCCTCCTACGTAAGCAACTGTCCCAGCCCTGTTCTGATGCAAGTCTCAAGATTAAACAACCCCAGATTAAGCTGGCTGGCTGTTCTAGCCATAGGGCCCGCACCTACAGTTTCTCCTTTTCTTCCCTAGAAAGAGGAATAAGGCCAAGAGAACATCTTGTGGAGCTGCAGCAAAACACTCTCCCCACAGCAGTTGGTAGACAGCCCACATACTTAAATTTATGTAGGATTATCTCCACTGCTATTTCGGCAGTCATCTACATTTATGCCCCAGATGCAATGTGTAATCTAATCTATCCCCAAAAATGCACGGTGTCCCCCCCCCATGGTAAAAAAAGTAGCTTTGAACCCAGAGGGAGCTTAAAAGTCAAGTAGCCTATGACTTTTGGGGTCCATAACCCATGAACGTGTAGTGTTGCACTATGACTTCCAGTCTGCTTAACTAACTCCAAGCCCATCAAGTGCCATAGTATATCAACAAAAGCTCCCAGAAGGGCATTCATTCTGGACTCCAAGAGAGCCAAAGAATCAAAGGTGTGCCAGTGAGTACAAACAATCAGGAACCATGCTGCACTCAGTATCATTTCCTGTCTCAAGGCTCCCAGCACGCTGCCTAAATTCCTGGAATTTAACACAGAATAACTGCTGCCCCCTCCACCCCACCCCACTTCAGAACTAAACCCTTTAGAAGTTTTTTAAAAAGCCACACACAAAAACAATCCTGTCCATTCCCCACCCCCATCCCCAAGAACGTTACAGCCAGGTCTAACCATTTGCTACCATGAGATTCAATTTTTCCTTCTTGCTTACATCACATGTTGAAGAAGTTTCTCCATACACAAGGTTTTCTAGGGCTTCCCCCACCCCTCCAAATCCTCGAATTAAACCTAAATGTTCCAGACTACTAACCAAACAAGAATGGTGTCTCCAATGTAGTTAGGGTGAGTCTGCAGCTCCCGGCTTTTAGGCACTATTTCTCTTACCATGTGCCACTTTCTAGTTTCTATTTTAAAACTGAAATGTTTGGGTTTTGTACCTTTGAAGTTGCAGAGATAGAAAATGTTAAGACTGACATTTACATTACTTTCAGAGCCATATTACTGAAGACAGAATTGCTAGAAATGTGAAGGGGTCTCCTAAAAGATTTGGTATAGTAAAAATAAGTTAAAAAAAAGCAAATCTAGTTTCCATAAAATCAAGTCAGCAGGTATTCCATGTTACAATAGGTTGGAGTGAGCAGTGAAGTTACATTAGTTGTGCTGTAGATCCTGTATTCTCAAAGGATCTCTATGTTTAAGTCAGAAGAAGCATTTGACATTTTTTACCTTGCCAGGCAGAACACAGCAAGTTTGCCTGGCAAACTAGGAAGCCATCAATATAACCAGTGAGCATGTACTCACCAAAACGGACATTGCCTGAATTTCCCCCACTTGTCGGCTTTTAATACTTAAGAAAAGCAGCTTTACTATTGACAACTGTCTGAGAAAAAGCTAACCTAGCAGTTCTTAGCATATTACTGGCAAAAGCCATCTTCCTGAGTATTATTGTAACAGCAGTGGAAGAGCCACAATACTTGGTCAGACCATTTTAAAAATCAGGATGCTAGTGGTTTAAGAATACCTTTCATAACTGAAACACTAATTTTAGTGAGATGCTCACCCCCCCATCCAATGAGCTCAGACAAATGCCAGTTATAATCAGACTGCTCAAGAATTCAGCCAGGTGAACACTGATTACTGGAAAACTTTTGAAGTTGCTTTTACTTTTTTTTATAGAAATATATTCCCCATTATGATTTCTAAATTGAGATATTTCCTTTTAAAATAAAATCCCCTGAAGCAATACACGAGATAGTCAGCATTGCAGTGTTTAGCAGGATTAGTTTCCCATTTAAAATCTTTACAGCAAGCAATCAGAGATTTAAAGTTTAAAGGATTATGGAAGGAAGTTTTGTTTCATCATCAAGATCCCTATGAGGTGACGGGGGTGGAGGGCAGGGGGAAATGCAGTTTCATTCTGTATTGCAGGGATAGTGTAAAGCAACAGACAAGGCAAGACTCCTCAGCCGTTTACTGGCTATGCTCCTCTTTCTGGAGATCATCTTTGCACTGGCCATTGATAACCCCAAAGTTGATGCAACCAAGCTATTTGCAAGAATCAATACTTCAATGAGTTGGCAAGAAGTGAAGATTGAGGAGACAATACAAACAAGCAAGGCAGACAAATGCAAGAATGGGAAGAAAGAAGAAATAGTTCCAAATGTCATATGCACGTTCTGCCTACAGGGTAGTTCCAAAGTACCAGCGTTAACATAAAATCAAAGAATGAGAGAAGGTAAAAGAGAGAGAGTCTCAGAACAGCAGAGACTCCCTGTGCCTGAAGAAGGGTGATGGTGCCCAAAAACTAGCTAAGAACTTTTTTCCAGCTACTCAGTTGGACTAATGAAATATATCACACCTTCTCAAAAAATCTTGCCTGCCTATGTCCTTACACCAACAAGGGTACAACCAAAAACCCAGCAACTCATTCACATTTAATGAGGTTTGTAATTTGTACCTTAGGTATTTAACACCCAAGATGAATAAAGAGCAAATGTCAAACCCCATATAGCAAGTCAAAGTGCAGATCTAAAAGGGACGTATGACCAGGCTGTCCAGGGAAGTATGAGCTCAGTCATTCCTTTTAGTTTTTTGCCTCCCTATTTGTCAGATCTTCTTGAACAGCAGAGCCCCCACTGCTGAGAGGTAGGTTTATCTCGAAGTCCCATTTCTGCCTCATGCCCACATGAATCAATATGATAAAGGGGTGGGGAGAAATACACCCTCCTCTGAAAGCTGGAAGGCCAGCCTTTCACATGGTGTAAAAGGGTCATCTGTAACAGCAAAAACCTGGTAGGGATCTATTTGTTGCTTTATTTGAGCTGGATGGTAAAAGAAACATTCCAGTTCTTTCATAAATTGTCTAAGCTAGAAAGACTAGCTTCTGTGGGCTTGTCTACCCAGAACAGCAACATGAGTGTCTGCATCACTTGCAATGAACTGCCTGTGATTTTAGTGCAAGTGTATAGGTGTTATTTTCACTTCAAGCCTGCTTTGCCCATATTTATTCATAGGACTGCTTCAATTTAGCTGGCTCTTAAAAACAAAAATCAGAATATTCAGACTTGCACAAAGAAGAGGGGCAAGCTGCACTTAAGTTTCTACATTAGCAGCAAGTCTGGAAGATTGTCCAGAAGCCCCCACGCCAAAGGTTCTCTAGCAGAACTGAAATAAAAAGCCAAGAAGTTGAGCTGGACTGCTGGAAAAGGCTGGTTTGGGTAAGTGCCATCTTTACAGGGTGAATCAGGATTTCCCAATACCTCCAGGGGATGTTTTTGCAAGCAGTACTCTGGTAGCATGGGAAAAACTATTCCTGTTCCTAACAGACAA